GTGTGTAAAACACTGAGTGATAAAGTTGATCTTTGTCTTCTTCTGGTTCCCTATGCCAAAGTCACATTTTGTATGTCAAGTTGCAATAATAAATATTACGTCCGGTTACACTTTCAAAATAAAGCTTGCTGAGCTTGCAGTTTGGGTAGGTTTAGGCAACAAAACCTCTTGGTTAGGTTTAGGAAAAGATTGCACCTCGCAAAATAAAACTGACTTCTGGTTATACATGGGACTCAAACAGCAGTCTGCTGGCACTGCACCTTCATACATGCATGTACTTTTCATGTCTAGGCGAGGCAAAACGTGACACTGACACGGTATCCTCTACTGGATCAGCGGGTCTGTTACACACTTTGGTGTGAAACTGGGCTCTAGGATACTTAAAATTTGTCCTCTGGCCTCAATGGTTTATGTATTTGCTACACTTACACAAAGTCCAGCAATAAATAATTAAGCTCCCAACTAGAAGCCTGTTATTTATAGGTATTTTGATGTGGAAGGGCCTCAGGTGAGAAAAGAGAAAAATAAATGAATAAAAATAATGTCCAAAATGAGATTCGGAGATCAGAACTTGGTCAGTGTCATTTTTTGTTCTTTCAATTTTCTTTTCAGAAACGGGTATTAAAAAACAAAAAGTGGTTGAGTGGTTTGATTTTCATTTTAAAAAACAAAAATTGAAATTGTAATACAAAGTGTTTTTCCTTTTTCATGGTCACAAAGTATGAGCAAAATAATGATAACGATTTAAATCTTTCTATTTTGTGTAACAAAAAATAAGAAGACTAAAAAGCTATTCAGCCACTATACTTCTTGTAATGTATCTCACTGGTTAAACCTGGAATCTCTCTGTTTAAGGTTTATTGTTGAATTGACAGTAACTTACTGAAAAACTTTTCCTCTAGCACTAAAATGAGATTGATATTTTTGTTTGTGAGTGAGCTGTCCGATCAACTCTTCAATGACTCGAAATCTCTCTGAAATGTCCTTAAATTTTGTTGAAATTCGTCATAGTTCCCTGAGGATGATTCCTACTGAGATACCTTTGTTGATTTCCTGACTTTCCCCCCAGTACCAAGTGTTTTATCTCTGCAAAGTGGCATGTGATGTTCAGAACCATCAAATTTGGAGGACATTCACGTGAATGCACGTGAAAGCATAGAGTAGAAAGAAGCAAAATTTGCTGTAAAATACCCACTTTGATCAATCCTTCAAATGAATTTAACATTAAAACTGATTTTGCAAAGTTGTATGAACTAAAACTGAAATAGAATGCTAAAATGCTGTATTGGAAGCCTGTGTGCTAGATCCTTTTTACAGTCTGAACCAACACCCATCACAATCAAACCCATCACCCTCACATTTGGTCAGCCAGCAAAGAGCTTATCAGGCCAATAAACTGCTGCAGTGTGTATGTGTGTGTGTGTGTGTGTGTGTGTGTGTGTGTGTGTGTGTGTGTGTGTGTGTGTGTGTGTGTGTGTCCTCTGACTAACCAGCTACATGGCTGCCATTATGAAATGTGGCATGTGTACTGTCTCCTTGACTTGATGATGATAAATCAAGACCATCAGGCCTGGATGATTCATACCCTGGTGTACTGATGATTCTCCCAAAAAATGTTCTTCTCAGACATCAATGTCAAAAAAATTGTACTGCTTCAGGAAAGAGCTGCACTCCTCTCTGAGTGTTCTCCGTGCTTAGCACTGTGTGTCCACAGCTCATAAATTCATCTCTGTGCAGCAAAATAAGGCACATTTTTATCTCGCTGACGCTTAAACCTGTAATATAGAGAAGCAAGGGCCTTTTCAGGGTTTAAAGTGTCCTTTACGCAGCAGGTGCCACACCGAGTCGACACCATCTGCCTCTTGGCGATGGCTATGTGCCCCGCCTTCTGAACTGAGCGGAACCCTCAATCAAAGCACAGAAGGGTGTTAAACAGTATGGCTCTAATGATGCACTAAATGGGAGGAAAGGGTTTCATTCCTTTATGTGCCTGCTGGGTTATCTATGAGACTGGAGAGCCATCCTGCAATAACACAGCCTGTTATGAATGAGGAGTCTGCCACCTCGAAGCGAACGTAAATACTTTAGGTAAAACCGGTGGGCTGCAAGACGAATGGCCGGGGCACAGTGACGTAAAAGCAGTAAGAATATTAAATCAGTGTGATTGCACTGTAGGAGGATAACTGTACAGTGAGGTCGCTCTGATGATGATAAACGATCTGTGCTTAGGTCTCGTAATCATGCCCCTTTAATTCCTTAGTATTTGCAGGAAATTATTTGCTCGAGTTTCTATTCTTTGCTTCTCATTTCCTCTTCACTCTCAACTTTTGGCCAAGTGAGAGACCAGGTCCAAATGAGAGAGACAGAGTTAAGACCAAAATAGACAAAAAAGTAGGCTTTTGCCATTGCCAGTGAGATGAGTTTTGGTAGCTAGGCATGAGATTGAAAGTGATATTGATTGCCTTGAAACCGTGGTTACCAGGCAGCCAATGTCAATGCCCGTTCTAGATTAATTTTGAACCAATACCCATTTTCTGAACAAGCACACTTAATCAAGGGTTTTGTTTTAAACGACTTCAGAAAAAAAACATATATTTCTGGACTCAGTCGAGACCAACTGGCGAGAACAATGGCCAAGTCTGAAATACCAACGAGTTCAAGACAAGTCCAAGTCAATAGAAAAAACATGAGACTGAGACTGGATTCATGTACAATAGCACATGGTGTGTGCCCCAAGTCCTTATTGCAGCAGCCTGGGTACAATTCCAACCTGTGGCCGTTTGATGCATGTTGTCCCCCCTCTGTCTCCGTCCTCGAGTCTGAACTCGAGTACTGCAAAGTGCCAATTCTTGTATCACACAGTTGTAGCAAGGTGGTATAGTGGGTGTATAAAACACAAGACTTGTAGTGATTCAAAATAATAATTATTATAAACTAATAATTATAAACTAATAATTATAACTACAGACAAGTATCAGCCAACTCTCAGCTCTACAGAACATGTTAGCCTCTTTCAGCTCATTGTTTTGGTTTACCAGACCACAGCTTTACTGTTTTGGTTCATTTCATACCATTTTCATCAGCCATTTCTCCAAAACAGTCCATAATAATAACTGTCATATGACAACAACTGTCAATAATACTAATACTAATAATAATAAAAGCTTTGAATGAAGTTTGCTGCAAAAGTATGAGGTGAAGTTGTTCTGGATCAATAATTGCCTCCTGTCTGTTCTTTGTCATCTGCACAAACAATAAATATTTCACCTTCTTTGAGTTGTCCACAGCCTTTAAATTATCTCTTTTATAGTCTGTCATTTGTCTCCCTGCTCTGCTAGGTAATTGCCTGACTGTTATTGCTGAAACCAAGAGCTGTGCTTTCATGTCACGTCTCATACAGCAGAGGTGTCTAAACAGCTTTTAGTTCTCTATACAGTACGTGTCAACTGTAGTTTTCTAACTGACTAGTAAAGGAAGAGGCAGGTCCTCTACTGTATGTGGTGCTTTAATCTGAAGTTCAGTAGGTAGGATGGCTACAGAATGGCTAGTTTGAGTCATGGGATTCAGTTGCTGGAGTGTACAGTGGAAGCACACGCTGCTTTCTAAAAGCTACTTTCCTTTGAGAAAGGCATTACATCTAAAACAGCTCCAGGGCTTCTGTTCTGTAGCTGACCTCTGACCTCCTTGCAAAGGGGACTACAAGGATTAAATTAAGTCTGACAGTTTACATTGGCCTATTAGTTGGAGAGGTCACCCTATAACCACAAAGTCACAGATTCAAATCCTACATAATAGCCAGCTGCTGTGGATGAGAGCGTCAGCAAAGAATGAAATGTAATGCAAATGTAAACTCTGCTCTGCCTATATCTCCGCTCTGACTCACTGAAGGCACAGAATAAACAGAGGGCGAAATGCTGACAGTTCGGCTTCTAGAGTTGCCACTTTGAAATGTTGACTGGTGTAATGGAACATAATGGGACAACGCTAACTGTTGACTTAGGGTGGGCCGAGCATTGGAGTGTTAAAACTGATTAGGTTGATAGTGCTGCTTTGTGTTGGGGAGCGCTCAGTGCAACGCGGCGCTCGTTCAGGGTTAATGCTTTCATCCATGCATGAAGGCACAAGTGGGTAGCCACGAGGAGAGCAGGCTCTTTAATCCGTTTGCCAAGTAGAATTTAGGTTTTCCTCTTCAGGCGTTTAATGGAGATAACAGCTTGTTATTCAGAGGGACGCACTAGCAGGGACGCAGCCACTGTGACATTGCTGCTGATCAACGCTCATTAAGGCCCTTACAATGTTCTCTGTCTGCTCACTACTAATCCCCACTTTAAAAACTCCGCTTTGTTTTTAGGCTGTGTTGACATGCTGACAGTAGCCTAAATTCTTGTTAAGAAAAAAAATATATATATTAAAAATATTCCTAAGATAACACACTTTTAAACAAGTTTTTAAGCACTACACAGTAAGAGTATTTTATCCTTAAAGTTCCCCTGTAGACATGTATCACAGCATATACAAATAATCAGCTTGAAACATTAGTGTGTGTCTGATGTTTTTTCTGCAGAAAAAATATAATTTCCACATTAAAATCCTTAAAAATTCATCTACTCCTTCTACCTCTCTGAATATGCAAGTGTTGTTTCTAAAGTTAAAGTTCTCCTGCTGGACACAAGATGTCTCCTACTTCACTGTAAAGTCCATTCTCAGTGGATGTGCACTGGTGGCTTCAAGTTTCTACATCACACTGTACAAGTTGATACTGGACCAGGACTGACTTCCTAACTATTTGTGACGTCACAAATCATGCTGTTAGACTGTGATGTTTTGCACACCAAAGATATGGTGTCTTTTGTAGTTAGTAGGAAATCTGCTTAGGACCAAAAAGACATGTTTACATTTATTTAAAAAGATTAAAAGATTAACAATAATGAGTCAGTACGGGAACGACTACAACCCGTAGAAAACCTGAATATTGTGTTTTATTGCTGTTTCTCTTTCAGAGGCGTCCCCCAGTCCTGTAAAGAGCTCCCCAGAAACGTCTCCCATGACCTCCCCGCGACAGCGCCGCGACTCGGACCGCTACTGCCAGCTATGCAACGCCTGGTTCAACAACCCCGGCATGGCTCAGCAACATTATGATGGCAAAAAGCACAAGAAGAACGCTGCCAGAGCAGACCTGCTGGAGCAGCTGGGCAAGACCCTGGACATGGGAGAGATGAAAGGTATGGAGCACTGCCAAAGTCAAAAGATACTTTTTATATTCTGGCTGTTGAATACATTTTCATCGTCCATCAGTACATTTTAAATCACATTCATGTTTTTTCTTTAATTTTAAAGTTTTGAGTAAGAAATTGATTGAAACTACTGGTTTGCATCGAGACTGCAATGTGGCAACTCCTAGGTTTAAATGTGGGATTTAAGGGGGGTGCGGTAAATTGGCACGATATGATACGTATCACAATACAGGGGTTACAATTCAGTATATTGCGATATATTGCCATACTGTAGGCATATGTTTTTAAAAAATAATTATTTTAGGAAAACTATCATAGTATAAATATGCAAGTTTAAAAAAGTTAACGTTTTTATGCAAGTGGGACCTGCATTTGTATTTATCACACCCAAAATCATAGCCCTAGGTCTACGTTTCTATCTTGTAGTTTGTTTTTTCTATCAAAACAATTATACATTATATATATTATCACAAAACAAAATATTGGACGCAATATCTTTTCATATTTTCTTAAACCCCTAAAGGGAGAGCAGCTAGGCGCCAAAATAGTGCATGTATTGTCATGTAATCTCCCTTTCTGTCTTATAAGAATTATTTATATATAATAAAAAAGGACAGCTTTTTGGGCCCCGTGGCCTGAGTGTCTATATGTCCTCGTGCCATTGGCTGTGTCAGACGTCGACTTATGTACAGTGACCGAAGGAACAGCCATGGCAAGGTGTTAAGTTATGGTATAGCATCCCTAGGGCTTCTCATCCACAGTATGATGTTCCTCAGTGGACAGAGAGGTGACCTAGTGGTAGGAGGAACATCCATTAATAGAGTGATCTTCATGGTTCAAGCGCCTCTTCCACAGGCAGACTGAAGCTAAAGCAAGCTGAAGTGTCCTTGAGCAAGACCCTGATACCCTACAGGCTCCAGGGGTGCTGTTCATTGACTGACCCTGACTTCTGACCTGCCTGATTCCCCAGGGTTCATGACATATCTCATTATTATTTGCTTTTAAAGAGTGGAAATGTATGGCTTGGGAGTTTCTTTCTGAAATGTGTTGGCTTTAAGGCTTCTATTTTCTGTTCCTGTACTTTTTTTTTTTAAATATAAACACATGGCAAGAGTGTAGATATCCAAAAATGTTTTGGATATAGGACACATACCAAGAGTATAAAATGAAAAATGCAGCAATACAGGAATAATTTCAGGACTCACATGAACAAAGTTGTGTTTGTAGGCATGAATGTTAAAGTTACATTAAATTACACCCAGTATTATTGGATAATTACGTTTTACACAAGAAAACAAAATGGATAATCACAAGATACAAAGTACACTTTGAACAGTACAATCCGTTATACACAAACGTATTGTAAGACAGTTGAAGTCTTGATCACTTGGTCTGCTCAACATGATGAAGATCTAGGCCTAGTGTTTCGAAACACTGAACATGTGCATCACATGATAGACAATAATTGTCAGGAATCCCTCACTATTGTATACATTGATCAGAGTTGTGGACAACCAGAAGAAGAACTTTGGCTAAATAGAATATGGTCTAAATTGGTAAATTTGTTATTTTAAACCAAAAACTCAAATCATTCAATGGAAACTTTTTGCCACAGGTGTCGCAGGTCAATGTCAATCAGTACAAAAAAATAACCCTAGGTGGAATTCTTCATTTAAAGATATATTAAGTTGTTCTCTGCCCCTTATAAAGTTTTTTAATATCACCATATAAAGCTGTCAGGCTATTTGTGTTAAATAGTTGCCTATTTACAGTCTCCACCCAGCAGATACAGCGGAACATTAGCATTTATTCATTTCTGTCCAGCTGACAAATGCAATTCCAATACTCACTCTCCCTCTGGCTCAGGTTTGGTCTCTAACATGCTAATGCTGCTAATGTGTTAGCATACAGCCACCTGTGTTGACAGCTAGCAGACATGGAGCAACGTTAGCGTTCATTTTGGTGTTTCTGGCCCACTGAATGACTGGCAGTCTTTTTCATTCTCCTTTTCTACTATTTCTAGGTCTCCACCAACCCCTGAGAAATATATCCGGCTCTTTAGCTGCTAAATGCTGCACTATGTTCACCAGCTGGTTGCTAACTTTTTCTGTCTGCTGAACAGGAAGTGTACAGTGGGTTAGAACTTTTTTCACTGATAATAGCTGGAAATTCATTTAATGACACTGAACCAAAACAGTAAAGTCGTGGTTAAACCAAAACAGTGAGCTACAAGATGCTAGAACGCTGTGTACGGCTGAGGGGAACAGAGTCTGTGATAATTCCCCCATGAGAGACTTCTTTTATGTTGTACATTAATCATTAATTTGACCTATTATTGAAATAAAAACATTAGTGCAGCTTTAAGGATCAACCATTAAACGACTTAATCGTTAATACTGTTAATTGTTTGAGTGTGACTTTTATTATTTGAGCGGGAACAGGTATAATTTTATGTAAAGGACGTTTAAATGGTCATTCTTGTAATCACTTTTCACGTGCAGCCAATAATGTGACGGGTACTATTGATCAGTGACAGAGAGCAACTTTACATTTGGAAAGAGTCCTGCTCATTTGCAGGTCATCCACCAAGGCAGCCCTCCTGGCCGTAGCTGTCAGCTCGACTCCTTCTGAGTCACAAGCTGTTAATTTTACAGAGGAGGAAAGAACGTTCTTGCTTATCCTCTCCCAGTCACAATATGTCAATAACAATTACACAAAATTATTCCAGTCGTTGGAGGGCCAGCTGCCAGAAGAGCAGAGGGAGCCCAGAGGTGTTGTAAAGGGCATTGGCGCGTGTCCGCACCGAATGGAAGAGACAAGTCCACATAGCTGATTGGACATGGACCCATAACTGCAGGCCTGATTGGTTCTTTATGCCTATAGGTGCAGTGTGGCTGGTTGGGGCCAAATTAAGTGGTTACAGTCATTTCAGCTTTGTCATATTGGCTATTGAGGTTTTCAGAATACATGATGTCTACACGTCATTGTACATTTGGCCCATGGTTGTGCAATATCATTACTCAGTATTATAGTTTAATATAGTATAGTTTTTAGGGTGAGCACACCATTGTCTAAATACATACCTCAAATGTGCAGGGCTTTTAACGTGGGTGGTGCTTGTTAAAGCAGCGTCAAGAAACCTTCATTTTGTGTTGATTCTGCCTAGGGCTGAAAATATCGAAAAATATGATATTGCAATATTTTGTCTTGTGATATTGTATCGATTCTCAAAAGAAATTGTAACGATTTTTGGGTTTAAACCACCAACTGCTAGATAATAGTGTGGTAAACGGAGGGCTATGATGCTGGATGTTACCGGGACTACGACCATTTTCCTAAAATTAGGCTAAAAGAAAAAAAAAGCATTATATTGCCTTGCTTATAGTATCACAATATATTGAATCATAACACCTGTATTGTGATACGTATTATTTCGCCAGATTCCAATACAAAGCCCTAATTCTGGCGGGCCCTGGGGAACACAAGTGGTAGTGTTTCTACTGTCTCGTTTCATTGATTTCAAGGGGAATCAAGGGGATTCCAACCGAATCCGTCCCATTGGCAGGCATTACAGATAACAGTAACACTTTCTATGAAGGTCTTATCTTTAATGCATTGTACGCACATTCATAAGACAATATAATGCATTTATAAGGCTTTATAAAACTTTTAAGAGATGTTTCTAATCATGCATGACAACTTATAACAAGGTTTATAAAGTAATATAGGTGGTGGACATAATTCATAATGCTTTATACCGCCATGCCAAAGCTAAGTACATATTTGCAACCTTAACTGTCATAATATCATACAATTAGTGTAATTATATAGTTTTCAGTTCAATACATTCAGGAGGTTCATCTGCAATACCTTTTCATCAGTTTTCACCAGATTAGTTGTGCAGTGCAGGAGTCAAGCTTTAGACTGATCCTGATTGTTGCACAATATTGTTTTTGTGTGTGTGCTTGTTTTTCATCAGAGCCCAGAGAAAATAAGAAATTCAGGAATCTCTAATGTGAAATAACCTACATTTTGTTTGAGTTTGGCAGAAAATGTGTGCGAAAAAAAGTGTTGCAAACTAATTTTAAATTAATGAATTAAGTTTATATATATTTTTTTGTGCTGTCAAACGATTAAAATATTTAATCGCGATTAATCGCATTAATGTCATAGTTAACTCGCAATTAATCGCAATCAATCGCACATTTTTCATCTATTCTAAATGTCCCTTGATTTCTTTTTGTCCCATTATTTTTTTTCTTATCAACATGGAAAAGTGGATCGGCTTGCTTTGTGCAAATGTTGTTTTTATTGAAAAATCATCCATCGTCTCCTGGCTTTGACGTGGGGGTGGAGAATTGGCATCAGCTGTGTGCTTGGCCATCAAGTGGTATTTCAGACTGGACGTGCTGTGATGATAGCTCAGTTCACAACGACACAACACACAGATCACTTTGGTCTTGTCAATGGAACCATTTGGCAACTTTTTAAAAGTAAACTTTCCATTCAGAATATTATTGGCATCCATTTCGGCGTCTCGCACTCGCCATCCACTGAAAATGTAACGTCTACTACTCTTAAACAAGTGTGTGCAGCGTGCCTGTTGTTTTGTTTCTGGTCTAGCTAGATCCGGTGTGGTGTTGTAGTTTTTCTAACGTTACTAGTTGTTGCAACAGCATGTGAAAAAAACTACAAAGTGTGCTAGGCCAAAAAGAACGTTAATCTTGCGATAAAAAAACTGACGCCACTAAAATGGGTTTGCGTTAACGCCGTTAATAACACGTTTATCTGACAGCACTAATATTTTTCCAAACAGTGGAAGCTCATTGTTAAGTTCTTCTTCCCACTGTTTTTCTATACCATGAATGAATCATAAAATATGCTGTTCCTATAATTCTATTTTTAATAAGCATTAATCTCAATAATGCAATCCCTAGAGATTTGGAGTAAGGGATAGTCACTGGTGTTGCTCTGGGTTGTTCAAAGGC